GTATCTTCTATACGACTCATGCTCGACCTTTCGGTCTTTCGTGTTCCGAGGCCATGTCTGTACATGCTAGGCTTGTCAAGTCAACCTAAGTGTATTGCGTGTAAATCTGGCTTACACCGGTTGTATTCGAACGTTAGAATCTATCACACCCGATCATCACGTGGTGCTTCGAAACAACGAGCCTTGCAACGGTGCATAGTTAGGGGGGACACTTTCTTGAAATTATTACGAGGGATCATCTTATTTAAGCTACCGTCGTTCTAAGCAAATAAGATGTAAAACATGATAAACATCACATGCAATCAAATAGTGACATGATATGGCCAATATCATTTGCTCCTTTTGATCTCCATCTTTGGGGCTCCATGATCATCATTGTCACCGGCATGACACCATGATCTCCATCATCATGATCTCCATCATCGTGTCTTCTTGAAGTTGTCTCATCATCTATTACCTCTACTACTATGGCTAACGCTTTAGCAATAAAGTAAAGTAATTACATGACGTTTAAGTTGACACGCAGGTCATAAATAAATTAAGACAACTCCTATGGCTCCTGCCGGTTGTCATACTCATCGACATGCAAGTCGTGATTCCTATTACAAGAACATGATCAATCTCATACATCACATATATCATTCATCACATCCTTTTGGCCATATCACATCACACGACACATGCTGCAAAAACAAGTTAGACGTCCTCTAATTGTTATTGCAAGTTTTTACATGGCTGCTATAGGTATCTAGCAAGAACGATTCTTACCTACGCCAAAACCACAACGTGATATGCCAATTTATATTTACCCTTCTCGAGGACCCTTTTCATCGAATCCGATCTGACTAATGTGGGAGAGACAGACACCTGCTAGCCACCTTATGCAACTAGTGCATGTCAGTCGGTGGAACCAGTCTCACGTAAGAGTATGTGTAAGGTCGGTCCGGGTCGCTTCATCCCACGATGCCGCCGAATCAAGATAAGACTAGTAACAACAAGTAAATTGACAATATCGATGCCCACAACTGTTTTGTGTTCTACTCGTGCATAGAAACTACACATAGACCTAGCTCTGATACCACTGTTGGGGATCATAGCAGAAATTTAAAATTTTCTATGCATCACCAAGATCAATCTATGGAGTAATCTAGCAACGAGGGTAAGGGGAGTGCATCTACATACCCTTGTAGATCGCTAAGCGGAAGCGTTGCAAGAACGCGGATGAAGGAGTCGCACTCGCAGCGATTCAGATCGCGGTTGATTCGGATCTAAGCGCCGAACCACGGCGCCTCCGCGTTCAACACACATGCAGCCCGGTGACGTCTCCCATGCCTTGATCCAGCAAGGGGAGAAGGAGAGGTTTGGGAAGACTCCATCCAGCAGCAGCATGACAGCGTGGCGGTGGTGGAGGAGTGTGGAACTCTAGCAGGGCTTCGCCAAGCACTACAAGAGACGAGGAGGGAGAGAGGTAGTGCTGCGCCAAGAGAGAGATCAAATCGTGTGTTGGGCAGCCCCCATACCTCAAGTATATATAGGAGGAGGGGAGGGGGCTGCGCCCCCTCTAGGGTTCCCACCCCAAGGGGTGCGGCAGCCCTAGATCCCATCTAGGGTGGCAGCCACAAGGGGGAGAGGGGGAGGCGCACCTGGGGTGGGCCTTAGGGCCCATCTGCCCTAGGGTTTGCCCCCTCCCCTCTTGGAGGCGCCTTGGGCCTTGGAGGGAGGCGCCCCAGCCCACCTAGGGGCTGGTCCCTTCCCACTATTGGCCCATGTAGGCCTCCGGGGCTTGTGGCCCCTCCCGGTGGACCCCCGGGTCCCTCCCGGTGGTCCCGGTATGTTACCGGTAGCACCCGAAACTTTTCCGGTGACCAAAACGGGACTTCCCATATATAAATATTTACCTCCAGACCATTCTGGAACTCCTCATGACGTCCGGGATCTCATCCGGGACTCCTAAAAACATTCGGTAATCGCGTACATACTTTCCCTATAACCCTAGCATCATCGAACCTTAAGTGTGTAGACCCTACGGGCTCGGGAGTCATGCAGACATGGCCGAGACAACTCTCCAGTCAATAACGAACAGCAGGATCTGGATACCCATGTTGGTTCCCACATGCTCCACGATGATCTCATCGGATGAACCATGATGTCAAGGATTCAATCAATCCCGTATACAATTCCCTTTGTCTATTGGTACGATACTTGCCCGAGATTCGATCGTCGGTATCCCGATACCTTGTTCAATCTCGCTACCGGCAAGTCTCTTTACTCATTCCGTAACACATCATCCCGTGATCAACTCCTTGGTCACATTGTGCACATTATGATGATGTCCTACCGAGTGGGCCCAGAGATACCTCTCCGTTACACGGAGTGACAAATCCCAGTCTTGATTCGTACCAACCCAACAGACACTTTCAGAGATACCCGTAGTGCACCTTTATAGCCACCCAGTTACGTTGTGACGTTTGGCACACCCAAAGCACTCCTACGGTATCCGGGAGTTGCACAATCTCATGGTCTAAGGAAATGATACTTGACATTAGAAAAGCTTTAGCATACGAACTTACACGATCTTGTGCTAGGCTTAGGATTGGGTCTTGTACATCACATCATTCTCCTAATGATGTGATCCCGTTATCAACGACATCCAATGTCCATGGTCAGGAAACCGTAACCATCTATTGATCAACGAGCTAGTCAACTAGAGGCTTACTAGGGACATGGTGTTGTCTATGTATCCACACATGTATCTGAGTTTCCTATCAATACAATTCTAACATGGATAATAAACGATTATCATGAACAATGAAGTATAATAATAACTAATTTATTATTGCCTCTAGGGCATATTTCCAATAGTCAGCGACTGAGCGGCGCACGTCGGGTTGGAATGGAACGCCTACTATCGTATAAGGGAGGCTAGGTCTTCTCACCGGCCGCGTACGCAACGTGCAAGTGTGCAATGGGCGATGGGCCCAGACCCCTGCGCCATAGGATTTAGACCGGCGTGCTGACCTCTCTGTTGTGCCTAGCTAGGGTTGCGACGTGTTGATCTTCCGAGGCCGGGCATGACCCAGAAAAGTGTGTCCGGCCAAATGGGATCGAGCGTGTTGGGTTATGTGGTGCACCCCTGCAGGGAAGTTAATCTATTCGAATAGCCGTGATCTTCGGTAACAAGACGACTTGGAGTTATACCTTGACCTTATGACAACTAGAATCGGATACTCAATAAAACACACCCTTCCAAGTGCCAGATACAACCGGTGATCGCTCTCTCACAGGGCGACGAGGGGAGGATCATCGGTTAGGATTATGCTATGCGATGTTACTTGGTGAATTTACCATCTACTCTCTTCTCCTACTGCAAGATGGAGGTTACCAGAAGCGTAGTCTTTGAAAGGACTAGCTATCCCCCTCTTATTCCGGCATCCTGCAGTTCAGTCCACATATGATAGCCTTTTCCATTTAATATCAATGCATACATATGTAGTGTAGCTCCTTGCTTGCGAGTACTTTGGATGAGTACTCACGGTTGCTTTGCTCCCCATTTCCCCCCTTTCTATACCCGATTGCTGCGACCAGGCGATGGAGTCCAGGAGCCAGACGCCACCGTCGACGACGACTACTACTGCTCGGGAGGTGCCTACTACTACGTGCAGGCTGCTGACGACGACCAGGAGTAGTTTAGGAGGATCCCGGGCAGGAGGCTGTGCCTCTTTCGATCTGTATTCCTGTTTGTGCTAGCCTTCTTAAGGCAAACTTGTTTAACTTATATATGTACTCAGATATTATTACTTCCGCTGACTCGTCTATGATCGAGCTCTTGTATTCGAGCCCTCGAGACCCCTGGCTTGTAATATGATGCTTGTATGACTTATTTTATTTGTAGAGTTTTGTTGTGATATCTTCCCGTGAGTCCCTGATCTTGATCGTACATGTTTGCGTGTATGATTAGTGTACGATTGAATCGGGGGGCGTCACAGCCAGGCTTACAGTTTTCGCTATGTGGTCTATGAATCTGAATATAATTTTATTTCTGGTGGTTGATAAATACTATCTCTGTATGAAACTAGAAGACGTTTTAAGGCTAAATTAGTTTAGAAAATAGGATCTTGATAAATGCCACATGTGTGACACGAACGCATAGCAACTCCGAATGTTTTTATGGCAACTTTAGTTATGAAGCATGTCAATTTTCTGTTCGGATGGCAAGTTTCTGTTTTTTGGGGGTTTATTTTTTCTTTTCGACTGACATCTTTAGTCGTAAGAAACGTCATGGCGGGATTACTTCGTTCCACACATGTGACATTTATCATTTAAAAATATTTTAATACGGAGGAAGCAGATAGAAGATAAAAAAATAAAGTCAAGTCTAAGAGCGTGGAAGGAACTTTTTAATTTAAGTAAGAAATATAGGAGTGGTGTAGTTGGGAAGCACATGGATGAATCAGGGTACATATGAACCCACTTTGAAAAACATATTTTTAAATGCTAAAAAAATCTGAAAAAGGTTGCATGGTACGTCTCCACGTTTTATGTGCGTGCATAAAGTTTCATGGGAAAATAATGTTTTATGACATGTGCCAAAAGGACAAAAAATTATGTCGTGAAATGCAATTTAGAAGCATTGAAATTTATCTTTTTTGCGGAGGCAAATAAAAAGACATTTTTTTCACAAAATCTTGTGCCGCGCACACATATTTGCGAACATGTATGCAATAAATTTTCTTTTGTATTTTTTGACATTTAAAAACATGCTTAAAATGGGTGCAGATGCCCCTGCGTTTAGGACGTGCCCACTCGTGGTTGGGAAATGTATGAATGAATCCGTGTACATATGAATCCATTTTGAAAAACATATTTTTAAATAATGAACAAACTCTTCATTCCCGCAGAAAAAGAACGTGCACACGCTGCTGCCGGAGAACAAAAAGCGAGAACTACCGTCGTCAGGATAACGTGGAAGACGACCACCTCACCATTCCTCCGTACTGGCAATGGCGGCCGCGCCCGCAGCCGCGGCACTCCGACCCCACCTTTCCCTTCTCTCGGCCGGCGCCGGAATCCCCAACCCCACGCTCCAAACTCTATCCTTCGTCGCCCCCCTCCTCTGCCGCCGCCGCTGCCGCCGCCGCAGCAGCGTCGTTCTCTCCAACGCCTCCTCGTCGCCCCCGTCCCCCCCTCCTTCGCCGGAGAAGGAGGCCGAGGCGGCTCCGACGGCGGAGTCGTGCGTCAACCTCGGCCTCGAGTTCTTCTCCAAGGGCAGGGTAAGCGAAGCCGATTCCAAGGCGCATTTTTCCAACGTTCATGTCACACGGGATCCTTATTGTGTAAACGAAGGAAGTCTATCAGTATCAGCTAGCAATTGTACGGCAATTCATTAGCTCTTCAAGATGATAGCTTTTGTTTTTGAGCGAGATTTAGCAGCTTTTAGCCAGAGCTTAATCAGGCCATTTCAGGATTGTGTTTCACTCTATGTTATCCATTGCATTATGATTGGGATGATCTTAAGTGAGTTAATGCCAGGTTTGGGTGTATAAATTGGGTTTCTCTTGGTTATCTCAACTGAAAAATGTTTGGAAACTACCTTCATCAGGAGAATAATTGTAAAGCTACTAATCATCGTAGTATTGAGCTGTCACCTTAAACGACTACCAGCGATGCCTGGTAGCTTGGTGTTGAGCAGGCATAAGATCGAAAATTCATCCTCTGCTAACAATGGAGGTTCATACTGTGATTGAATTAATGCCTAGATCACTTTATGATCCCATAAATACATTTCTGAAGTTGAGTTCCTTCTAGGGTTGATTGTATAAGCAAACTCTTACATGGGTTTAATTGGAGAGAACCATTTCGAATTATCGTAATGCAGGAGTATCTTCAAGCATTCTCTGTATTCTCTTTTCATTTTTTTTTTGTACATGTCACAGGTGAGGGATGCACTTGAACAATTTGACAATGCCCTGGAGCTGAATCCAAATCCTACCGAAGCCCAAGCAGCGTTCTATAACAAGGCATGCTGCCATGCGTACAGGTGAGGGCACCTATGATACTATGCTTGAAGTTTCCAGTATGCACATGGTGTACCCATTTAGGCTTGTTACCAGCACTTTTGTGTCTGTCAGTACTACTTTTTCAGCTCCACTTCACTTGAATGTATCAAGGCAGCAAATTGCTCGAACTCACTATTAGACATAGAAGACAAGACGTTAGCATATTTTGGATAGGATGAATGTTCCACTGTTTAGATTCTCTGATGGCATTGTTAAGTTATTTGGTGAATTTGTACATTTTTTATTTTATGTTCCTTTTGTGATGCATCTGTTTGGACCAGGGAAGAAAGCAAAAAAGCTGCAGATTGCTTGAGAATAGCTTTGCGAGATTACAATCTCAAATTTGGTACAGTACTTAATGATCCAGACATGGCGCCATTCAGGGCATCACCAGAATTTAAGGAACTTCAAGAAGAGGTAAGGCTTTGTGCTTAATCCACTGCTCTGCTATATGCTGGATAAGAAATTTATCTTCTAATCATAGTTGACATCTTGATCCCACCAGTTCGATGTCAGAGATTTGATCTTTTACATTTTCTAATTTCATTTCAGGCATTGCGTGGTGGAGAAGATATTGGTTCTGGGTTCCGAAGAGATCTAAAGCTCATTAGTGAAGTACAGGCACCATTTCGTGGTGTCCGGAGGTTCTTTTATGTGGCGTTCATTGCAGCAGCTGGAATTTCAACATTCTTCACCATTCCCAGACTTATATTTGCACTTCAAGGTGGTGATGGTGCTCCAGATTTTCTGGAAACGGCTGGCAATGCTGCCATTAATATTGGAGGTAAACTGACACATCCTCAAAGAATGGTGTTGCAAAGAGTTAGGTAGTGTTCACCTGACAAATTTGTCCCCTCATTACATGTCAACAGTTCATCTTGTTGCATACTAGTAGCATTAGAAGAAAAACCATCAGCAATGACTTTGTTTGTTGTTCAGGTTGGATTTTAGGGTGTTGTCAACCTAGTCAGTCGAGGCATCAAACCTACACGAAAATTTCCAAAACAAAAAGTATAGAAATACTTCAATTTACAGTAACTTTTTTTCTTTCAATTTAAAGTCCAGACTCATTATGAGTAACGAAAATATATCGACAAGTAACGAATAAAAACCATGGCAAGCGTTACTATTCAGGGCAGACTTATTTATTCCATTTCTTCTAATTCACATCAAGTTGTTGAAATTTAAATATATGCCACAACACTTTTTTTACTTCTTGCAAAGAAAAGTTAATAGACTACATCACAAAAACAAAAGGGGGGAAGTAAGAAGTTTCTGTGTTGGTGTGGTGTCCAAACTGAAACCAGGTTGCACGCTCCACCGCCAAACAAATATAGTAATTGACTTTTCATTTGATTCGCCAATGTATTAAAGCATTTGCCAATTGCCAGTGCTATGTTCATTCCTGATGGTTGGTACTTGCCACACGCATACACCAATGCGTTCTTTTAGGATATCTTGGTGACCATCTTATATATTTACTCTTAGATGCTTCAACATAAAAATGCTCTACATAATTCTGTATTTGTTTACTGGTAAATGTATTAGCATTCATCAACGCTTACTAGCTACCGCTGGAATACGAAAATGCAAAGAACTACTGCTATTTCATTTCAGTCCTTGTTCCCTGAGTTGTGCATCTTGTAGAAGTTCATATTAATGAGATTCCTTGGCTCAATTATTGTTTTTATGTTTGCTATATTACAAGTCAGTCATTTGTTAAATAATTCTTATTTATGTTGCTTGTTAAACTTAAAAAATAATCAATCTCTGGAATCAGCACTCTGCAGGTATTGTCGTGCTCGTGGCTTTGTTTTTCTGGGAAAACAAGAAAGAAGAAGAGCAGATTACAAATATCTCTCGTAATGAAACCCTTTCAAGGTTACCTGTGCGTCTGTCAACCAATCGCATAACTGAACTTGTGCAACTCCGGGACATTTCTAGGCCAGTTAGTATAATTCTTTTAGCATCTTTCATACTCTCTACATTTCTTTTAAATTTTCATTAAGTGACCAGTGGATTAAGTAGTATTGTAGGTTATATTGGCAGGTTCAAAGGCATCTGTTACTCAAGCAATGCAAAGAGCTGAGAGGTACCGAACTGATCTGCTCAAACGAGGCGTTCTTCTAATTCCTGTGATCTTTGGTGCTTCACTAAAAGTCCAAGGCAAACCAAAAGGCTTCGGTACTACAAGATCTGCTGCATCAGCTCCTTCAATTGGGGTTAGACCATTATTACATATCTACTAATCAAAAAACTGTCACATGCTTCTTATTTTGTATTTTCATACGGAAAACCTGGTATCTTTTATTAAGTTTCATGCACCAACCAGTAGAATCAAGAATACAAACAGATGGTGAAGGTCGGGCAGTCGACATACTTCAACAACCCCTCTCACATGTGTCTCAAAAAGGCCTAAAAGTGGACAAAAAGAGGGCAAGCAATTTTTTTCATTTTAACTGCGAAAGCCGAGACTTGAACCCAAAACCTCTTGGCTTCTGAAACCATATTAAGTTTCATGCACCAAAGGGTAGAACGAAAAGTCTGAACTGTTGAGAAGGTTGGGCAATCCACATATACTCGAGCACCTTTATCTTTTTGATAGTACAATGCAACTTTTTTTGGGCAGGGTGACTTTGAAAAACGTACTGAATCTATTGCGGCAAAATCACGACTCAGAGCTGAGGTTCGATTTAAAGCTGATATTGTCTCTCCAGAACAATGGGAAAGGTGAATTTTCTTTCCTTTCTCCTGTACTGCATAGTCTATATTATGTTTAAGTAACTGTAGAATAATTTTGCATGTTCTTACCATTTCAACATAAGACAACAACATAAATTACATACACTAGTCGTGAACCCATGCATTCACAAGGTTGGGCCTGTATTATGAGACATTTTATGTATATATGTGTGTGTGTGTGTGTGTGTGTGTGTGTGTGTGTGTGTGTGTGTGGTATATGAGGAGCAAGAGTACATACTCCCAGGAGTACATAACCATTTTCCT